GGCTGCGCCAGGGGAAGCCTCGAGCCCCCCAGCCCGAGCTCACGGCCAATGTCCCACCTCACCCTCCAGCACCCCCCCTGCCCAGCCCCTACCTGGGGGTGCAGAGTGCCCAGGAGCGAGTCGAGCTGCACGTCCAGGCTGCGGCTGCCCATGTTGACGGAAGCTTCCAGAATCTGGCAGAGGCTCTGCTCAGAGAGAGACCCCAGGGGGGGTGTCAGGAAATGGGTCCCGGGGAGGGCAGAGGGTGCTGAGCCCCGTGTGACACCAGCCTGAGGGAGGGAGCATGAACCCACCACGATGGCAGCAGGGTCTGTCTGCCACGAGGGCCATGTTGTAATTTCTTTAATTAACGCTCGCAGAAATGACAATGATCCTTCATAGTCACTTCTGGAAAAAAACATTCACAATACTATGGACATTGCATAAATGTTTGGGCTTTTCCATAAGTTTATTTGTTTGAGGGACAGTAAATTACCACAAGCATTATTTCAGTCAGATTTTCTCTTAACTACTTAATGTCCCTCGAGACATTAAAGGCCAGGCTAAATGTAGTTCTGGGCAACCTGATTTAGTTGAAGATGTCCTTCCTCATTGCAGGGGGTTGGGACTAGAGGAGCTTTAAGGTCCCTCCAACCCAGACCACTCCATGACCCTATGAGATGACAGCAGCCTGCTCCATCCTCCTCATCACTGGCCACAACCACCCAATACTTGGGTTCAGTTGCAAGAGGGATCATGATGGGAGAAGGATTTTCACATGGAAGAGGCAGCTTCAGCCCAGTGTGTTCGGGCAGGGGCACGGCATGAGCTGCTGGACACCAACTCTGACATAAGGACTAAGTCTACTTTGCTGGTCCTGCTTCACATGCTGCTCTCCGGGGTGGGCAGAGCCCTGCTTGACATCCCTCCTGCATCCATGGACCACAGCCTGACCCATGGCAGCAGCTGCAGGGATGTCACCCCCCAAACCCCAGAGGGCTCCCTGAGCTACTCACCTTGGATATGTAGAAGGCTTCCGTGTGCTTCTTGTAGAGCGCGAGGATGCCGGGGATGAGTTTAGGGAGCTGCTCCTCCAGCTTCTCCCCGGGCATGAGGTGACTCATGGGTCCCAGGGCTTCCACCACAGCCAGTCTCAGCTGTGGGAGAGACTGAGCATCAACAGTGTGGTCCAGAGACTGGATGGACACTGCGCTGCTCCGGAGCTGCTCCTGGTGCACCCAGGAGCCTCTGGGCAGAGCAGGGACCAGGTCCTTAAGGAAGAGCACAGCAATGATGCTCCAAGGCCAGCATCAGACTAAGAACCCCCCACTCCACACCCAGGGAGGTCCTGCCCCTCCATCCATCACCTTGGCCTCCCGGTGCTGCAGCCAACTGTTGAAGAGCACTTCGTAGGCACTGAAGATCTCGTTGGAGAAGGTGTCCTTCCTGACCGTGGGGTCCGGGGCCTTGTCCAGGTTCGCCAGGTACTCCTGGATGCTCTCACTGAAGTGCTGCAGAGCTGGGGGACAGCCCACACGACAGACACTGTTTGCTGTAGCCTCACCAGCACCAGATGGTTGATGTGCTGTTCACTGGCAGCATCCCAAGGGATGGAGACGTGCCAGGAGCCTTCCTGGCAGGCGGCCACAGCAGAGCTACACACTGCTTGGGGCTGCCTGCTGACAGAGCCAGCAGTGGGGACCCAACCGCAGGGACCCAACTGCAGACCCCAACCACGAGGACCTGACTGTGGGGATCCAATGGGGGTCCCCACAGGAGCCTGTGTTTGCCCCATGGGTTAATTCTACCCATGCTTAGCAGAGAGGGTAGCCAAGAATTACAGCCCTGGAGGCACAGAGAAGCCAGAGCTCCACATGTCCATGAGTTCATCCAGGGCGTGTGAGCACGAGCTCTTCTCCTCCTGAGAACCAGCCCTGTGACCAGAGCGTGTTCATGCAAAGGACAATCCTGGCTCAGATGAAAGGCTCAGCTACAGACTGCAGGGGATGCCCATCTGCCACCTCCAACCCCTGGGGAAGGCTCTGTCATGGCTTTATGGGGTTCTAGAAGCTTTAAGGGGTTCCCGGGGCAGTGAAGGCATCACCAAAGACCAGGAGAAGGACTCAGCTGGCAGCACCCAACGGCTGAAAATACCCTCCTAGTTTTACTTCATAGGATCATGAGTGGTTTGTGTTGGAAGGGACCTTAAAG